CCTTGTCATTGTTTTGCCCAAACCTTGGGACCTAAGGGTCTGATTTGGCTGTGTGGGGCATTAATGATTCCCAATAGTTTCTTAGCCCTTAGTGTTGGAGACCTGGAAGAAGGGGTTAACCTAAATGCCTTAAGGGCAATCATAACAGCTGATATCAAGGAGGGAGAATAACTCTGGATTTGAGGCATTCTTTGTTTTTGGGGGCTGTTGTTATTGCCCTGGGTATGTCCACTGAGCAGAGGGCCTGGAGAGCTGCACCTATGTATTCTTGTTGAACTTTGTATTTAGTGAAAGGGTTAACATTTTTTTTTTGGCCTTTTCTGGTTCAGTTTTTCCTGATCATGGTCTTGTGTTTAGTGCCAGTTTATGCCTGGCTTAAGACAGTGATGAATGGGATATTTTGTGATGGGACATCACTGGACACTTCTGTCACCCCTTCTCTCTCTCCCCTCCTCTCTATCCCAGTCTGGGATATGACTAAAGAGAGGTTTGGTCAAGCTCTGAGACAGGGTTAAACAGAGAAACCTTTTTGTTTCTATGTAACTTATCATTTTGAGCATTGTGCCTTGTTTTGTTGCATGTTTCTCTTTTTTCTTAGTCTTCAAGCATTTATTAAGCACCTACTATGTTCTGGGCACTGGGAATATAAAGACAAAAATGAGACAATTCTTGCCTTCAAGGATCTTACATTCAAGGAGAGGCAAATGTGTGTGCATGTATGTGTATGTATATGCGCATATATATATGCGCATATACATACACATATATGCACATACACAAAATAAATGCAAGATTATTGGTGGGGAGGTAGGATTCAGTGGTAAAGCTTTTACCTCAACCTTGTTTGTTTGAATTAAGGAAAGGAGATTTTAGTTCTGTCTCCTAGTAAGTTAGAACAATTTAGAGTTTCTCTGGATTTAGGGGTTAAGTTGGTGGCAATTGAAGAGAAAGGGAGAGATTTTGGGGGGAAGGCAGTGACTTTGAAATGGCAGTGATGCAAAGTTAGCAATGTTTTTCCACCATGTTTAAATATTCTGTGTTACTTCTTGTTGACCTTGAAAATATTATTGAAATACTTTTTCTGCTTTCCATTTGAGCATATATTCGGTTTGATCTGGAAATATGCAACATGCATTATGAATCTTGAGTCGGTCACCTAGACAAAATGGTCTGACCAAAGCGGTGGTGGGACATTACCATTATCCAGATACTTTTTGGGTAAAGGTGTTGAAATTGTTGCTATGTTCTTCAAAAATTATTCAAATTATTCAAAATTTGCATAATCATCACAGATTTTATGACAACCATTTTGCAAAAAAGTAGGGTACAACCATTATGTGAAGCTTTTTTTTTTGTGCCAGTATTACTTAAAAATCATTTATTACTAAACTGTCTTTGGTACAAGATTAGGATGCACAGAATACTCGTGAATGCATGTTAAAATAGAATACTGACAATGCTCATGTGCTGAGAATTCTAGGCTCAGGGCTTGCAATCTGAAAGAGATGAATGCGTATCCATATGCTACTTGTGAATACACTGCTGCTCTGTTTACCTTCTAAGCAGAGTGAGGAACAGAATTATACCATGCGACCTTTGATTACACAATGAAAGTTATAAACCAATTTTTGGATTGAAAAAACAGGGCATGATGATTATGCAGTGGCAACTATTATGTGGTGAAATACAGTTGTTTTCACAATCTCTCCAATTCCCCCTTTTTAAAATATAATATGAACCAGAATTTATATTTGAACATTTTAAATTTTGTATGTGAAGTTGCTGCCTGTCCTCTTAATTGTCAAGTCTTGTTGATTCTCTTTACATACCACTTCTTGGATTCATCCTCTTCTCTCTCATCACCTCTTGCTTAGACAATTGTAATTGCTTCTCAGTTGGTTTCTTTAACTCAAATCCCTCCCCTCTCCCGTTTGTCCTCCATCTAGCTGCCAGAGCGATAACCCTACAGCACAGATCTGACCAGGTCATTCCCCTACTCAGTAAAATCCAATAGCTCCCTGTTACCTCTAGGGTCAAATAGAGTGAAGACCTTTACAACATGGTACCACCTTACCTTTTCAAGCATTATACATTTCTACTTTTCACATACTATGCAGTCTAGTCCAGCCTTAGCCTTGTGTTCCTAGTTCTTGCCTCACACGGCACTCCCATGTCTGTGCTTTTGGCCAAAGCTGTAGTAAGAATAGTACCTCCCCTCCAATTCTTAGAATCTCTCGTTTTCCTCCAAGCTCTACTTAAATGCCCTCTCCTACACTAGGCCTTTCCTAATATACTCAGCTACTAGTATCTCCCACAACAAGATGTAAAGACAAGGACTATTTTAGTTTTCTCTTTATATTCACAGTATAGAGCACGGTGCCTGGAATATAGTAGACAGTTATTAAATATTTGATGACTAACTGATGTTATTGGTGCAGGGGCAATATCCTAAGATCTGAGGCTAGGTGGTCTGGAGTCAATCTGAGTTCAGATCCAACTTCAGATACTTATTAGTTTGTGTGACCCTGGTAAAGTCATTTAACTGCTGTCTCCCTCAGTTTCCTCAACTGTAAAATTGTTAAATGGGGCAAGAGGGGAGGGCAAAGCAAGAAGGGCCTCCCACTTGGCTGTAGGTCTCTCCACTGCCCAGCCATCCCTGGGACAGACAAGGCCAAGTGAAAGGCAAAGTGAAGGAAGGGGAAAGACAAAGGGGAAAGGCTAGCATCCAGGAGAAGACAGCTCACTAAAGAACCACAGTATGAATCATCAAGAATTATTCATCAACAATGAGAAATTAAAAGAAAACAGTTAAGCAGTCTTTGAAATGCAACTGTAGTGGGCAAAAGAAACTTAAGAAAAGTACATTTTGCATTTGCTTTGAAAAACAACGTGTGTATACCAGTATAATAGAATATTGGTGCACTGCAAAAAATAATGAATATGATGGCTCCTGAGATGCATGGGGAAGACTCATCTGAACTGATGCTAAAGTGAAGGAATCATGACCAGGAAAACAAATATAAACAATGACCATAGCAATGTAAATGGAAAGAACAAATCATGCAAAAGAATTCTGTGAAATTATGAGAAAGCTTGGCCCCCAAAGAAGAAATTATAAATGCATCTACCTCTCTGTCTTTCTTTTTTTTCAGAGATGGGGTGCTGCAAAATGTAGCATCAATCAATAAGCATTTATTAAGTGCCTACTTTGTGCCAAGCACTGTCCTAAGCACTGGAGATACAAAGACTAATATGCCTTGAAGGCTTTATAAACTATCTGAAACAGACAACGTGGACATAATATAGATATATACAAAACGTACAAGGTAATTTGAGGGAAAGGCACTAGCAGCTGGGGAAATCAGAAACACCTGAATCAGATGTCAGACTTGGTAGATATGTTGATTAGTCTGTCTGAACTATTTTTATTCTCTTTATTTTATTCTTTTTTTTTTAACTAAAGGCTCTCTGGGAGAGGGAGAGAGGAATAAATTGGGAAACGTGTCTTTTTTCAGTTGTGTTCAGCTCTTTGTGACCCCATTTGGGGTTTTCTTGGCAGAGATACTGGAGTGGCTTGCCATTTCCTTCTCCAGTTCATTTTACAGATGAGGAAACTGAGACAAACAAGGTTAAGTGACTTACCCGTTGTCACACAGCTAGTAAATGTCTTTTGAACTCAGGAGTTTTCCTGACTCCAGGCCCAGCTCACTATCTATTGAGCCACCTAGCTGCCATCATTGGGAAATGTAGGCAATCAATAAACAAAAGATATCATGAAAACAAAGAAACAAACAATAGCCATGTGTGATAAGCAGCAGATTCTGGGTCAGTGATTGCTAAAAGGCAGCTACTTCAAGAATTCTTTCACCCTTTCAGAAATATCAGCCACTTGGCTTTTTTTCTTTTTAAAATATGAAATTATGTTCTATGGATAATGTTGGACTTGGAATCTGGAAGATTTGAGTTTAAATCCTGCCTCAGACATTTATTAGGTGTGTGACCCAGTGGCTCCCTATTACCTCCAGGATCAAAACCAAAATTCTCTGTTGGTATTCAAAACTCTTCACAGCCTACTTTCTCCCCAACCGTTCCAGTCTTCTCACACCTTACACCCTATGCACTCACACTTTCAGTGTAGTGACACTGCCTCTATAAAGTTCCTTGAGTGAGAGACTCCATATCTTGGCTCCGGGCACTTCTTCTGGCTGTCCCTCATTGCCTGGAATGCTCTCACTCCTTAACCCCACCTCCTGGCTTTCCAAGTCCTAACTAAAATCCCACCTTCTACAAGAGGCTTTTCCCAAACCCTCTGAATTCTAGTGTCTGCCCTCTGTTGCTTATTTCCTATTTATTCTGCATAGAGCTTGTTTGTACATATTTGTTTACTTGTTTTCTCCCCCATTAGCTTGTGAGCTCCTTGAGGACAGGAACAGTCTTTTCCCTTTCTTTGTATCCCCACTGCTTAACACAGTGCCTGGCACATAATAGGCAATTAATAAATAAAGAGGAGTGGAAGAGAGAATGCAGACCAATGAAAAAATATAATTTGATTTAAAAAGAAAGCTAATTATAATAGGTGCTTTCCCTTTCTTCTCATTCTGTTCTAAGCTCTCTGTAGTCTAATTTTTTAATCTTATCATTCTACTGAAATTGTTCACTCTGATGCGGTTTAAGGGTGCTGGGACTCCAATATCACAACACGGGGATCCTGCCCAAGCCTTCTTTCAGCCAAAGATAAGGTTTATGAGAACATCCTTCATATTGGGCAGGCTCTTAAGGAGTCTCAATGTTAGTGAGCTATTGGTAGATTATAAGAATCTCAACAGTGACTTAGATTTTAAGAATCTAAGCATCTTAATGGAGACAAGGTGGACCTTATATACAGAAAGACTGTGGGAGGGATCTAGGAGTGGCCAAGTAGTGGGGGAGGTGGGGGAGGACTGTGAGGTAATAGAAAGCCAGGGACCTGGACCAGTGGCTGAGGGAGAAGGGAGCCTAGATAGGATTAAGGGTGGGAAGTGGCCATAGGGAGGTAAGACAATGGAGGGCTAGGCTAGGTTAAGGGTAATTGGGAGAATTGGGAGATTGGGTATAGCCACAATGAAAGGCTAGTTGATGGGATTACAGTCTCAGGGGAACACCAGAGATTTGGCCGTGAGTGGGAAAGTCCAGGGTTGTGAAGGCAGTAAGTGACAATAGTTACTTACATTATAATAATTATTATAATAGATATTTTGGATGCGTGAGAGTGAGAAATTGAGGATGATGCTAGGGTTGCAAGTCTGGGTGGTTGAGAGGATGGTGGAATACAAGGAAGTTTGGAAGAGGGGGAGGTTTGAAAGAAAGATAATTTCTATTTTGGACATATTGAGTTTAAGATTCCTGGTTCATCCATTTTCAGATGTCCATAAGACAGTTGTGGCACTGAAGATCAGGAGAGAAACTAAGGCTGGATATATAGATCTGGGAACCATCTGCATAGAGATGATAATTGAACTGATGGGAGCTGATAAGATCACCAAGAGAGATCATATAGAGGGAAGAAAAAAGGAGCGTGGAGTCTTGGGAGACACCCAAGGTTAGGCATGGATGAAAAACCAAGAAAGGAAACTAAGAATGAACAGTTAGAAGAAGAGTCAGGAGAAAGCAGTGTCCCCAAAAACCAGAGAGGACAGTGTACCTAGGAGGGAAAGGTAATCAATAGTTTTAAATGCTGCCAAGAGGTCAAGGAAGATGAGGTGGGGGGAGGGAGGAAGAGGAGGAAGCCCTTTTTCTCAGGTCAGGACCTCATTACCTCTTGCCCTTCTTCAGTTGTCTCAGTCGCGTCTGACTCTCCATGACCTCATTTAGGGTTTTCTTGGTGAAGATACTGGCGTGGTTTGCCATTTCCTTCTCCAGCTCATTTTACAGCTGAGGAAACTGAGGCAAACAAGTTTAAGGGACTTGCCTGGGGTCACACAGTTGGTAAGTGTCTGAGGTCAGATTTGAACTCAGGTCCTCCTGACCCTAGAGCCATTATGTCACCTAGCTGCCATCACCTCTTGCTTAGGCTATTATAACAGCCTTGTAATTGGTCTCCCTGCCTCAATTCTGTCCACTCCATTCTATTGTCCACTCAGCTGCCAAAATGAACTTTTGAAAACATAGGTTCAACTGATGGGGTTGAGATCTGGACCCCAAAAAGGAAAAATCCTGGAGTTTGCCTAAGGCCATAATCCCATCAACTGACCTTTTGTTATTGCCTAAAAAGCCCAATCTTCTGATTCAATTACCCTTAACCTAGCCTAGCCCTCTATCACCTTACCTACCTATGGCCCCAGCCACTTCCCACCTTTAATCCTAACTAGTCTCCATTCTCCCTTGGCAACTTGGTCCAAGTCTCTGGCATTCTATTACCTCACAGTCCCCGTAGACTACTTGGCTACTCCTAGATCCCTCCTATAGTCTTTCTGTAGGTAAAGTCCATCTTGTCTCCATCAAGGTGCTCAGATTCTTATAATCTAGCCACTGCTCAGATTTTTACAATCTAGCCAATAGCTCACAGGTGCTCAGATTCCTTAAGAGTCTGGCTAATATGGTGGATCTTTAATAAACCTGGCTTTGGTGAAAGAAGGCTTGGGTCGAATTCTTTCGGAAAGGACCTGTGTGTTATGATTTTGAGATTCCAGCACCCCTAAACCTCTAGACCTCATCACAACCATGTCACTCCGTTACTCAATTGCTGTTGTTGGTCCTTCATTCTTGAAGACGACCAATGATATCACAAGGGTGATGTCTTGACGTGCACATGAATTAGATTTAAGCGAGGCAGAGCTGAGTAAAGAGTCCTGTGGCAAGACGAAAGTCTAGAAGCCTGGCGATAGCCTGGGGTGCAGTGGGTGACCTTGGTCTTTTTAATTTAAGGTCTTTCCCAGGTCTCAGTTTGTCAGAGGAAATACCCATTCAGTGATTTAGGGATAGGTAAGAATTGAGATAAAAGTCTCAGTCTGGGAGTTTCTGGCCCAAACAGAAAACTGTTGCTATTTTCACTCGCTCTAAAAATCATCAAAACCCAAACAATGAGCAACAAAGGCTTGGCCTAGGGGCTATTATTGGCCATTCAATGAAAGCCAGAGTGATTTGGGTTTAAAGGTGTAGTCAAATAGCTCTATTTGAATCACAATAGGATTTTTAAAAGCCTGTTTATTTCAGAGCTATATTTCAAGAAATCATGAATGAAAACTGCACTGGACAAAGAGCAAATTGTCCCAGTTTAAAAAAAAATAAGTAGAAATTTTTTTTAAAAACCTAGCTCCTAAACTCCAAGATAACTTAAAAAATGTGTAACCAAAAATTATATTCTTCTGGACATAATGCCCACATGTAAGGGTACAATGGAGAGTTGGAGAGAGGAGGAGGAGAAGGAGGAGAAGCCATCAGCTTCAATAAACTTCATTAAACCTCTAACATCAATTAGCAAGTCCTTTATTTGGCATTTAAAGGTCTTCATAATTTAGTCACTTCCTACCTTGTCACTCTATGCATGCCATGATCTATCTACATTGGCCTCCTTGCTGTTCTTTGCACAGAGGAGCCCATTTCCCTTGTTCATGCCTTTGTATTGGCCTTCCCTCACGCCTGGGATGCTCTTAGTTTCTCTGGTTTCCTTCATGGCTCTGCTCAAATTCCACCCTCTCAGGAAGCCTTTTCCAGTCCTCTTCCCCCAGCTGCCAGTATCTTCCCCTTTCAGATGACCTTCTATTAGCTTTACATAAAGTTTGTATGTACCTAGTTATTCATTTTGGCCTTTCTTTGTATCCTCAGGGCTTAACACAGTGTCTGGAACACAGTAATTGTAAGTGCTTAAAAAATGCTCTTTGACTGCCTAACTGATTGATTATGTTCACTTGCTTTTGGGGCTTGTTTATCCCTACTACTTCCCCCCTCCCCTTTTTTTTGCTCTAAATCTATTTTTTATTTTATTTTATTTTTTGCTTTTAGGCAATTGGGGTTAAGTGACTTGCCCGGGGTCACACAGCTAGTAAGTGTCAAGTGTTTGGTCTGAGGCTGGATTTGAACTCAGGTCCTCCTGACTTCAGGGCTGGTGCTCTATCCACTGAGCCACCTAGCTGCCCCAACTAATCTATTTTCTTTCCAAGCATCTTCATTAAAAAAAAATATTTTGGTTCTTCTATCCACTTTAAGAGTTCTTGTGGCCAATTCATCTTTATCCTCTGAGGTCCTTCTTATGATTGTTTTGGAGTCATTGACTTCCTCTAAGACTTTTTCTTGGGATCCTTTTAACCCAACAATATTTCTTCATTGTAGTACCTCCCCCTCCCCACCATTGGTTCATGTCCATAGCTTCAGTTCTTGAATTAAGACTTTGTGCTAGGGTAAGTATCTGCCTCCCAGTGTTGGATGGAATGGCTAGGCCCAGGTCCTGCCCCTGAAGAAGCATGGAAGTCACTACCCTGTCTCAGTCATGGATAGGGTAGCTGGGTTTTGGTCTCACTCTCTCCACTGTAGTCTATGGGTGAGGTATTGCCTGGGGCCAGGCCTAGCCTGGGTTTTGAGGCCAGATCTGCACTGGGGCCAAACCCTTCCTGCAGCATGCAGCTTATTTCTATTTCTAGAGGCATCCCAGAGAGTCACATTGGACTCATTTTTGCTTTTTATTTTATTTTTTAAAATTTCCAGCACTTAGCTTAATACCTGCCACATAATTATTACTTAATAAATGCTTGCTAATTAATTATTAATGGATTGTCCTTTTCTTTGAGCAGTCACTTACTAGACATGCTAGCTTTAGGTTAGTCTCTTAGACTGTCATCCCCAGACTCCTATTGTGTGCTAACTTCAAACTGTCTCGTTATACAGTTACATATCAGGAGCCCTCAAACCACAGAGTGTGGAAAAAAGTGGAGAAACCCCTTGTTTCAGATTCTGTCTTCTTGTGCAATCTTCTATGAAGTGAAGGAGCTCAGTGGTGTATTTCTTTTGTTCCATTAGCAGGGGAATATCTTTTACCTTTCTTTGTATCCCCAACGCTTAGCACAGTGCCTGGCACATAGCAGGCATTTAATAAATATTTATGGTTGTTGTTTAATATGGCACTCTTCATTGTTTTAGTAGTTTGTCCTCAGGATAGCTGGGTTTCATTAGAACCTTTCACATAACTATCTTAGCCAAAGGTCCTTGAGTTGTACTTTTAAGAGGTCCAATTTCACTCCTTTCTTAAGCTTTTTTTTTTAATTGATTAGGTGTTTCAACTGTTCTGAGAGTTCTGGTAGACTGTTTCATTCTATTTTCTGAGGTTACAGCTGTTGTTATTATATATTTATTCTTTTCCTTTGGGGAAGTTGGGCTTCTCCTCACGCTGTTTCACTGCAAGTTATCTCTTCATTGTACTGGAAGCTTTTGGGGTGTGTATCTATATGTGTGTGTGTGGGTATTATTAATTTCTTTAGCTTTCCATTAAGTTTCTTATAGAAATTTCATTGTGAGGATTTCTTGGCTTCCCCCTCTTTAGTTATTTGGTAAATTTCTTGCTGTTTTCACATGCTAAAGGGAAGCTGATCATAACCAATACCTTTCACTCAGCAATTTCTCTGGAAGCTCCTTTGATTGAATTCTTTATACCTTTTTCCTATTCCCTCTACCTTTTTCTCCATCTAGCTAAATCAAAGATTCTTAATCTGGAGCCAGTGAGCTTAATTTTTTCTTTTTTTTAGAGAACTGTATTTCAATAGAATTGGTTTCCTTGATAATCCTATGAATCTTATTTTGTGTATTTAAAAACATTATTTTGAGAAGGTGTCCACGGACCAAAGGGTTTCATGACACCAAAAAGTTTAACAGCACTCCATCTAGGTGTGATGGGATGATGGGACCTGGACCCCTAAAAGGAAAAGACCATGTCTTTGAAAGCAACCCAGTCCCTAAATTTTCTCATATATTTCAGCAGCCCAGATCACAGGAGCCTCCACCCAAGATATCTGGCCCACCCCAGGCCACCTAGATCACTTAATAACTTACTTCATATTCCTTTCATTATTGCACCTGGCCCACCCCAGACTACTTAATACTCCTTTCACTATATTATGTCTGGCCCATCCAGACTATTTACTGCTCCTTAATCCCATCCAGATTGTTTTACTGTCCTTTTTGTATATAAGCATCAGTCTCACCCCTATTAAGTTGCAGGTTCTATAGGAACCCTGCCTGCTTCTATTGGCATTTCAATAAACCTTGTCATTTAGCTGGAAGAAGGTTTGAGTTTGTGAGTTCATTCTAGGGAAACGTTGCCCTGTACCCTGACATTTAGGGGGTTCCCAGCAACTCCAAACTGCATCAGGTGGAATGTGATCAGTGGTTTTTCTTACCCTAGTAGCTGGAAATGGTAGTTGTTCTAATATCCCCATTTAACATGGAAGTTTTATTTTCCGCTATTTAATATTATCTATGCATTAAAGTTTTATAAAATGCAGTATTGTGATTTTTATAAAACTCTTTGTAACACTGAATTGTATAAATGGGAGCTATTATTATGCACTTAAGTCATGTAGCATGCATAAGATTGGTTGTTGGTGGTATTTTTCTTTTACAGCTGGGAAATGGAGCTGAAGAGATCAGGTGACCTTCCCCAAGGTCATAGGATGGAGACAGCTTCAATTAAAATGAAGTGAATTGGTTTGACAACCAATCCAGTCAG